ACAAATTCTGCAGATCATCACATTTGCAACATGAATTTGCAACTTAAAGGATTTTTAAGTTGATATTCAGAGGATATATGTGGATTTATATCATAAAATGCTACAGTATTACAATATTTAGCTATGTCTTAGACCAAAATATTTTTTGGACAGAAATGCAACGATTTTAGACTCAGCAGCTATAGATTTGATGACTGTACAGTACAGAAAACAATCTTAAAGCAGTTTGAGTAATCAAGGAGTTGCCCTCTCTCCCATGGAGGACAGTTAGTCCTTTACCAAATAGATGCCATGGTGACTCCAGCAGCTCACTGCGCCCTTGACGCATACAGCAGCACCTATCTGACACCTTTCACCGTGCCTCTCCTCCCTGCATCCACAGACACACTTTTCTTCTTTTTAGCATGTGTGTGTGTGAGAGAGAGAAGCTAAATCCTTTAATCACACTGCTCACTTTGTCGCATTCTTTCCATCTTCTAAAAAAGTAACTGCGCAGCCCCTTACATCACTTCACCCCAGTGACGACTGAGCGGCACCGGTAATTCACAGCTCTGCATTGCGGTACTCCAGTGCCGGTCCATTCCTGCACCACAGAGCTCAACACATTCTCGCTAAGTCCAGACACCAGAGCCAGTTCGGTAATGCACGCAACCCCCCTCGTGTGTTGTCGCTCTTACCTTTGAGGCAGAACGGGGGAAATCTCAGTTCACTGTCCGCATGGCACACCTGGACCCGAACCGCATCGTCCCACAACCCACCACCACCACCACCTCCTCCCCCTCCTCCTCCTCATCCACCACCCGCCGGAGCGTCCCGTTCAGCTCAACTTTTCTATTGGAGGAGAGAGGGTGAGCGGCACCTCGAGGTGGAAGCAAGGATGCGGCTGTGATTGGTCCACGAGAGAGGGAGGGTGGGAGGGATGCGAGCATCATGCTACTGCGCATCCCAGACAGAGGAGATACGGTCTTCATAGGAATAAGTCTACATCATACTCCCATACACCATGTGCTGCGCATCATAAATGACCTTCAGATCAATTATTAATGGCAGACTGCAGTTTGTCTGGTATATCATGAGATGCATGTGGAAATGAAACAATCACTAAATCCCTTATGATGCGAGTGTTTTGAAAAAAATGGTTGAAGGTTGGTTGCAGGATAAAACAGTCTGCACCGGGACTTGAGCATTTTTAAACTTACCCATGTTTTTAATCTATCTTTGAATTTTTTTTTTTCTTCTAATTCTTATTTTTAATCTTATTCTATTTCTCATTGATTGCACTATAGCATTTTAGCATAGCATTTCAAATAGTCTTTTTAATCTGCATCTCAGCAGTCATGTGTAATACTTTTAGATGAATGTCCTAAAAGAATGAAAGCACATAGAAAGCTGCAGTAAAATTCTCCCAGTAGATAATAATAGATGCATATGCGCACACCAGATGTGTGTTAATCTTTCAAGGATTAACTTTTGTAGGTTTATTTTACATGTCTTTATTTAACACACTAGATGGAGCCACACACACACGCTTGTTGCACTGGGCACAAAAGGAAGACAGGACTGATTTGAAATCCTGAAACCAACATTTATTTCATTTTTTTTTTTTAAAGTTCATTTAAAATACAAAATATTTTGCAATATTATACTGTAGAGTAAACCATTTTGACAGCCTTTCATGCTTCTCATGTAGCTTCAACATTAACCAGAATGTCAGATTATAATCATATCATATACTGTATATCCTACTGTATGTTCACCAGTCACTAGAACATTGTCTCCAGGGTATTCACACTCCAGTGCGCCTGTCCGTTTATCTGTCCATGCCGGCTCTGTATGCTCCAAATTACAGTTTTGGGTTTTTTGTTTTTTTTTTTTGTTTTTTTTTTTTAAATGCACACTCTTAAAAAAGATGCGTCAGTTTCAGGAGGTGTCTAGTTTAGAACAACAGTTTTCCAGCATGCTGCGTTCAGACACTGGACGTTGTCCTAAATTAGATGCATGAATTTGTTTGAAGTGATAAATCCTGTTTAAGTGTGTGCCGTATTTTTATATAAAAAAATACAGAAAAAAAAAGGTGCATGAACAGTCAGAGACAAACAATACAGGTGTCACAAGAGCTCAGTCACAAGTTAAATAATCTCCTTTGATACCTGATAGGCTAAATGTTTGAGCAAATTCACCTGACAAGTTAGAAAAAAATAAAAAGAAAAGAAATAAGATTATAAATTTCACAGCAAATAAAAAGAGTGAAAACTGCAAATAGTCTCATCTCACACAAAGCCATTTTGCACCCTCCCTTACCCATAATGCAGCAGAGGCCAAGCTCTCACCTCTGACCTCAACACATCTACGCTCAGCTCAAGCCGTTATTTACAAAATACAACAAAAATATCTACATGTGGAAAGCTGACACAATGCAACCTAAAAACTTGATGCAAGTTATGATAAACCTAAAAACATGGAAATGTTCTCTTGGGGAAAAGAAAGAAAGAAAGAAAGAAAGAAAGAAAGAAAGACAGAAAGAAAAAAAAAAAGTCTTGTATCTCCTGTTGAGAGTAGGCGCAGACTGCTTGACACAGAATTATAGACTGTTATCCATGGAAATAGAAAGCGATACTATACATCACGCACGCTTTATTATAGTAGCATGCATGTGCTGCGCACACACACACACACACACACACACCCCCAAACATTCACACACGCCCATGCACCCGGACAGTCACACACAAGCTTCATTCATTTACAGTAATATAAAACTCACTGAGTGCTGCGCTCGGATCGTGACAACATACACAGATATAAGGTTAAATGCATAAACCAAAGTCACCAGTGTGTTTACCATTTGCAGTGAAACAAGCAATATTTTCATTCACATAAACAGATACACTTGTTTCCACATTCAGTATCATTACACAATTTTCCGACCCCTTCTCTTCTAAGTGCAACCAGTAACAGTAAGTCCCATTCTTATAGAGTCCGGTCCCCGTTGGCAGTTACCTGGTGAGTAGGTTGGCAGTAGTTTAGTGCTGCTGAGCAGCGGCTCCTCCTCAAGATGAATGGGTTAGGAGGAGAATGGGTTGAAATGAATAAATGAGACGTGATGACGTGTCATCAGGCGTCCATGCTGTGACCTCGTGGCTTCCTACACATTTGCTCAGTCTGCAATTCATAGCTGGAATGGTATGATTTGTCTGTTTCTATACCAAATGGGCTGATGATAGCTCGATAACATGATTGTCAACAAGGCCATAACAATCTATAGTTGAAGATTATTCCTCACATCTAACACCAGTGCACAACTGTGAAAAAGCTCTTCTTTTTTTTAAATCCATTTTTAAAATTATTTTCAGCCCTGTGTAGGAAACCTGGACCCTATAATGAGACTCGAAGAGGCCATTTTAAATTAATAAGCCCACATGGATGGTTCACAATACTCACTGACCATATAGCTCACAATAAAGGGCTGTAGATTTAATGTGCCCTTATGAACAAACTCTACAACATCATCAAACCTGTGGAGCTTATTTTTCCATGAATGTTTAATGCAGTTTTGAATACTCACACAGCATCTGCAGTTGTTATATAAATAAAATCGAGGTGGCATTTTGGATGTACTGTATTCATGGACTGCACTGAGCCCAGGTCTGTCCTGTGCATGAGGGATGCAACTATGGATCTAAAAAAACACTGTTCTCTACAAAGGCACTAGAAACCATGCTAAGAGGTCGTGTGTACTCAGTAAACCTCTTCATGCAACAGCTTTTCTCTTTTCGGCCAGTATACGTAGCAGACACGGAAGTGGGAATGCTATTGGAGACAATGCTGGGATAAGCAGTTAGTTCTGACAATACCATGATGGCCTCAAACAAAGGCTTGCAAAGTGGCCATGATTTCAGGGTGGAAGCGCTTGACAATGACACTGGGATCAATCACACCTCCACTTGTGTTCAGTTAGTGCTCGGTAACAAGAAGCATATAGGCTCGGTGTAAGGGAACAGATCAGGAAAGAAAAAGCAAAAAAAAAAAAAAAAATTAAAATTAGCAAGCTTGAGAAAACATGAGGCTAAAAACAGACCAAATCAGTGTGAGAGTCCTGGCTGGCGTGATAAAGAGTGACTGAACGCTGAGTTCAAAGTTGTTTCTAGACAGGTTTCCAATGACTGCGAATTGACATCCCTGACCTTGAAATATAGCTTTCTTCTTCTTCTATTACATATGTACAAACATCTGTCTCAAAAAAGAAATAGGCTAGCTTCTACTTTGAGTTGCACATTTCACAGCAATGCCCACAAAGGCACTGCTGCCATTTTTTCTCTATATATATCAAACGCCATTTAACACTTTGACTAAAAAAAGAAAATAAAAAACAAAACAATAAAATTCATACCCAGTCGCTAGTAGGTGTGCACCATATACAATCTCAACACACAGCTCACCTCTGCAACAACTGACAACGATGGTAAAATGCTTCATAGAATCATGATTTACTCCATGCAGATGTTTATGAATGTGATTCAATGCATATTTGCCTGCCTGCGGGTCATGTACTGTACTTTGATAAAATATATATTTGGATACATCATGTTTAGCATGTTTGCAAAGGAGATCAAATGACACTAACACACACACACACACACATACACTTGGCCACACTCCTGCTCAGTCTGAGTGGTAATACTCCTTGTACATTCCTTCTGCTTTTCTGTATTGCTTCCTCTCTCCCTCCCTCTTCTCGAAGTCCTCACATCCCTCGTTTCACGCCTTCTTTCAACCGTCATGGGGGGGGGGGGTCGGTCTTCGCCAGGTGGAGTGTGTGTTGATCAGGAGGTCACAGTGTGACAGGGGCTGGCGGGTGTGGAGATGAGGGCGTGTCAGCAAGTCTTGGTGACAGGTAGCCATGGCCACCGAAGTGACGGCCACCACGGTAAAAAAATAGGGTGTCCACAACGACTGTCATCCTAGCAACTGTCACCACAGAGATGGTCACATTTGCCAGGGTGACGAGGAGTGGCCACAGCAATCGTCGCAGCCGGGCGGCGGCCCTTCGTTAGACAAACGAGTTCATGGCGTTGACAGGCGACGGGGCCTCCGAACTCTCGTTGCCTTCGTGTGTGTCTTTCTCTTTCTTGCCGCTGTACTGGCCGATGAAGGAGCCGTCCTCATTGAACTGTCCGTCCCCGCCCTCCCCGTAGTCCACCAGGCTGTCGTCACTCTCGTCGCGGCGCACCGTCCCATTGGACGGCGTCCGGCTGCCCTTCAGCGGCTTGTGGTCCTCTGTGTCACTATAAAAAAAAAAAAAAAAGGCCAGGGAAAGGTTGGAGGGAAGGTTATTGAGAAAATAATTCATGCAGTTTATTCTGCAGTGGTCAGAAACCTGAGGGGCCCCAACACAGAGGACAGGCTCTTATTCAAGCAATGAATCTGGCTTTTCCACTGCACAAGTGTACCCTGCCACACGTGTCACAGCAGCATGTTTTTATGCAGTCTTTTGTCTACAGTTCACTTTAGCTCAGGTGCGCTACAAATGTACAAATGTACACGAGTACTCACTGTTTCCATTCAAAATGAATGGGTTCTTAAAATGGAAAGTCTGGTACATTATGCTTCATGGTACTGTACAGTGGAGCAGCTCAGCTACGTAGCCTATACAGTACAGTACGATCTATAGTGTTAGTGCTGTATTGCTTTAGGCCTGGGTGCTGTTAAGATTCAGGGTTAGTGACCACTGCTAAATAGGATTTTGCAAACACGTGCTGTTCAGTCCTTTGCAATAATGTACCTGCATCAGAATGCGATTTCAGTCAATATGCAGTTTACATGCAGTCATCAAAAATGCAATTCATTATTTTTCCGACAATGAAGTCATTATTAGCATTTACATCCTGTTCTTTTGCTCCATTTGTTTAAAAAAAAACAAAAAAAAAACGCCCCTCGTCTATTCAATACTGCAGCATGGAAGCTCTACAGTTCGGATCATATAGTTAATTTCAACTCTCTTTAATTAAATAAGAGATAATATGATTAAATGAAGGAAGCCAGAGAAGTAAAAGCAGTGATATTTAATGTTAGATTTTAGTTTTAACGTTATAACTGCGGTTATGGTGTTGACTATGTCACAGTGATGAGTATAAGTTGATGTGCTTTCTCTTGCTTTTAGTTTCACTTAAGTCAGACACGTAGCTGAAAGATGTTTTACAGGTTGCGTGAATTGCATGCTGGTTTTACCGCATCTCGTCTTACCTCTCCATGGACCTAAACCCCACCCACCCCAAAAAAAAAAAAAAGATAAAAATGGAGGGACACATGAAAAGCAATTCATGAGCCATAATGAGTCTAATCTTTTATGAGCTTTTCATAGACAATGATTTCACAGTTTTACAAGGCAAAGCATGCACATGGAAACACTTAAAGCACAATGGCATCCATATTAATAACTAAAAAAACAACCATCCTATATATATTATTATCCTATATTATTAAATGGAGAATTGTTAAAATTAGAATTAATATTGCTAGAAAAATGGTGAAAATGTGATGAAAAACTATAAACTAGTGGAAAATTGTCCCACTTATTTTGAGGTAGTATAGAGTTGACGTCGCAGGAGATGGGATTACTTGTTAACGTGGACATATTTTGCGCTGTATAAAGTTTTGTTGATTAGAAGACCCGGTTACAATGTGAGTTGGTCGTTAAAAGGATCAGCACAGACAGTGTGGATTTTGCCTTGCCTCTATGGAGTGTTTGGTAATGGAGACTGGTGGGGAGAGTGTCTCTGCGGCCTGGTAAAATGTTCTACATACAAATAGTCAAGTCAGGAAACAATGAACGAAGAAAAGGTGCTGTAAGCCATGTGGTTAGACTTTTCGGACTTAAAGAATGCATCGTTTTTATTTATCACCTGTATTCTCCAAATGTCCCATCATCCTCCTTCATGGGCTGGATCTCAGGGTCTTGGTGAGCATCTTCTTTCTCTTTCACTGCGGATTACACAGTTTGTTTTTTTTTAAAAACTGCTGCATCCATCCATGTAAAAATGCTTGAAATTACATTAAACACTAATCATGTGCATTACCTGGATATTTGCCACCCTTGTTCCTCTTGATGAAGCACACAATGAGAAGGACCAAGATGAGAAGAGCGATGGCACACATCAGTCCAATAAACCAGCCCTGGGTGGCAATGTCTACCTGCCGGTTGGGTACGGCTGGACACACACAGAAAAAGAGGAAGGGACAGAAAGATGGAGACACACAGTAAGCTTAGGTGTCAGTCCAAATTTAAATCCAGGCTGTTCAGATGGAGGAATCTGAGATTATCAGAGGCTGTAAACACTGAAATGAATTTTTTTTAAAAACGGGTTAAAATGCAATGATCGTTCAGGCACTGAAAACATGAAAAAGAAAAAAACAAACATTACAAAAATAATGGACCTCTTAGTGATGTTTTTAAGTGGCATGCATCGCACCAACTTGATGGCAACTTCTACCATGCTTGTACACTATCTAGGAAACTATACTACCATACATTCATGTCTGAATGTATCACTGCATGTCTGATGACGAGACAGTGCCGACACAAAAATGAGACAGGCAAAAAAAATTAAAACACCAAGACCATCTATCCTGAGGCATGCCGCCTCACCTGGCACCGTAACGTCCACTTCGCCTGTGCTGTGGACCGTCGGGTCAACCGGGTCTCTAGCTACCAGACGCACCTTATAGGTCGTCCCCGGTTTTAAACCTTTTATCATATGTGAGTGTGAACCGTTTACCAACTCCTTTTTCCAGTCCTCTTTACCTAGAATTGGAGTTGTGGATGGAGAGGAATGAAAATCAGGGGAAAAGAGGTTTTCGGGAAAAAATAAATAAATAAAAATCATTATTTGCATAATGATATTTAGTCACCAGTTTGAAAGTTAAAATCATTGTTAATGATCAGATCGATTAAATGTTAAGTGCGGAGATGGCTGGAATACAGAGTGAAGCCTTACTGTTTTCTACAATATATTCCACATATACATTCTTATGGTGTCCAAAGTATTCCCAACTGATCACCGCACCATCCTCCAATATAGACGTGTTAACTGTGCCAAACGCAGGGCCTACAGGAGGCGCTGAGCACACAAGAGAGAAAAAAGTGTTTATTCAAAATGAGAAACATACCAATTCACAACGTCACCTGAATTTTCAAAAAAGAAACTTCATATGGAATAAAACCTTTCAAATATGGCTACAGTGCCAAAATATCAAATAAACGTCCATAACATCTCGCTCTGACAATATGCCAGTGTGTAGGACATAACAGTTCCCTCCAGTTTTATTTTGACATGAAATATGAGCAATCATTCCTTGAAATTAATTTATTTATTATTATTATTATTATTATTATTATAGGAAAACAAAAATTCATAAACTGCTGTAGCAGCTGAATTCAAGTCAAGAATTACAAAAGGACCCCAGCATCTGTTTTACCAGTTAGAGAATAAGCCACAGCTTAAAGTTTCCACTGCCACCTTGTATATACCGTCAGTTGTAACAAAAGGGGCTATATCATTTTTGTTACATAACAAGAGAACCATTAGAGTAGTCTCAGATCCTGCCACAACATACAAAAATAGAACACTTATAAAGTATAGTTGCAACAGAAATGCCCATCTCAGTGAGGACTTCAATTTTACTGTATAGTAGTCCTCTTAAAACAAGCAGCACTCAGGTGAGAGAAATGTAGCAAATGAATCCTTTCTGAACTTACAATAAGTGGAAATAGTAAAATATTCTGAAAGTACCATCATAATATCTCAACTAATAAGAGTTGGTTCCTGAGAGTGTGTATCATTGTCCTCATTTTGATTTTTTTTTTTTTCCTTTTTTGGTGCTAGATTTAAACATTCGCCGAGATGGATCATTTCTGCTGCAATGACTGTGTAGGTAGATATCTGGGGAGCTACAGTAGTGGGGGACACAGGGAGTGCTTGTACCCTTGTGAATCGGGGGATGCAGAGACTGAGTGATGGGGGAAGTTGGGTGAGGGGGCTCTGTGGGGCCTGAAAGAACATGGAAAAGAGTGAGACAACACATGTACAGATCACAATAGCCAACTGCAGAGCCGTGCACAACATGCCGAGTGAAAACACAACGCCTCTAAACCCTGAGGTTCAAAGTTAAATTCAGCACCTGGTTCAGTGTTATACCCTCCCCCCAAAAAAATAAAAATAAAATAAAACTGAATTACAGCATGTATATTATTTGGTTCAAATCAAACTCTATGCACAATCCATCAGTGTAATGCATCAGCAGGTAAATGAAATGAGTTAGTGCTACATCAGCTACAAACGCTTTCACAAGCAGCATGCGAGAGGTCTAATGAAAACATGTTCATTTCATGTAAAAACAAAAGGACTGCAAGCACAGCTAATTTTAATGAATAAAAAATCCTATATTTTAGACTGTTACAATAAATACAGTCTATTCTATCCGGATAGGACACAAGCGTCACTGCTTGCAGATGCCATGGAAGTCTGTCACACTTAAATCCTACTTATTCACATACAGTGGTATGAAAAAGTTTAGGCACCCCTGACAATTTCATTGTGATCAATCAAATAACTGATGGGCACAGCAATATTTCAGTAGTGAAATGAGGTTTATTGGATTAACAAAATGTGCAATATGCATCAAAACAAAATTAGACAGGTGCATAAATTTGGGCACCCCAACAGAAAAATCACATCAATTATTAGTATAGTATAGTATATTATTTAGTCGAGCCTCCTTTTGCAAAAATAACAGCCTCTAGACGCTTCCTATAGCCTCTAATGAGTGTCTGGATTCTGGATGAAGGTATTTTGGACCATTCCTCCTTACAAAACATCTCCAGTTCAGTTAGGTTTGATGGTTGCCGAGCATGGACAGCCCGCTTCAAATCATCCCACAGATTTTCAATGATATTCAGGTCTGGGGACTGGGATGGCCATTCCAGACCATTGTACTTGTTCCTCTGCACGAATGCCTGAGTAGATTTTGAGCAGTGTTTTGGGTCGTTGTCCTGTTGAAATATCCAGCCCCGGCGTAACTTCAATTTTGTGACTGACTCTTGAACATTATTCTCAAGAATCTGCTGATATTGAGTGGAATCCATGCGACCCTCAACTTTAACAAGATTCCCAGTACCAGCACTGGCCACACAGCCCCACAGCATGATGGAACCTCCACCAAATTTTACTGTGGGTAGCAAGTGTTTTTCTTGGAAGGCTGTGTTCTATCGCCGCCATGCATAAGGCGCTACTCTTCAGAGGAGAGTCAAAGAGACTTGCAATTGGCCACCTTAAATACCTTTTCTCATGATTGGATGCACCTGTCTATGAAGTTCAAGGCTTAATGATCTCACCAAACCAATTTTGTGTTCCAATTAAGCAGTGCTAAGTAGTTACAGGTATTCAAATCGAAAAAATGACAAGGGTGCCCAAATTTTTGCACAGCCTATTTTTCATGTCTGATTTAATTTCATACTTCATACAAACTTAATATTGCTACACTAAAAATCTTTGTCTGGAAAATTCCCCAGTACTCAGCTTTTATTAGAAAAGGAATGGCATGCCACTGTGATCAGTTTCTGTGAACACGGAGTAAATTATGCAGCCTCAGAGGGGTGCCCAAACTTTTTCATACCACTGTATAGGGAGTCTGCAAACAACTTAGTCACATGCAGGGAAATGTAAGTTAAATACAAATATCTATGCGAAGTTAATTATATCTGATGCTGTAATGAGCATGCAGGGACTTCCACTGGCAAACTTGGGTTACCTTTGCCCGTCACTACAGTGGGCTGAGTACGAGCTTCAGAGAGAAGAGAGAGAGATAGAGGTAGAGGAGTGTGAGAGGTTGAATGCAGTAGACCCTCGTGGTTGTAATTTTCACAGGAATCCCTACTCTCTGTCAGGGCCCTGTCATTCTGACTACTGCACTCCTCATTTCGGTTGCTGATATAACATTCTCACCTTTTCTTCCTGTTGTGATTGTAATTTGCTACACAAGCTAAATGCTTAAACTGTAAGTTTATGTACCCAGGACTCACTTGTGTCCATGATTGTGAAGGCCTCTTCTGTGATGATGGGGCCAGAGCCCTTGATTGTCTTTGCACTTAAGTAAAACTTGTACAGCATGCTGGAGTTCAGGTTGCTCAGGGTAATGGTGGTCTCGTTGGCTTGAAAGGTCATGACCTTGACTGGTCCCAGTTCACTGGTGATGTTGACTGTAGAGACAATAATGGAAAAATAACAAACGTTTTTCCCTTTCCACGAATGCTGCTTAATACTGGTGCAGAATACAGGTAGAGTGTCAGGCAGCTGGTAAGCCTACCTGGTTGGTATTTCAGTGTGTATCCAGCGAGGCGTCCATTGTTGTTCATTGGTGGACCCCAAACCACAGTGAGAGAGTCCAAACCGGGGTTGATGACATTCATAAAAGAAGGAGGTCCGGGGACTGAAAAAAAAAAAAAAAACAGAACCACAGTCAGGGCCTGTTGCAAACAGGACTATTCATAGGACATACTGTACCAATGGTTAATAGCGGTTCATGGACCTGTATGATTGGTAGGGCTTTTTCACATCAATGCTACGGTTTTCCATCAGATGAGGGTATAGATAGATGGTTGAAACACAGATGTTGGTCCTAACTTGATTAATACAGCAATTACTACAAAAAAGGTATGCCTTGAATAAAAGAAATAGAATCAGGGTTTCCCTTATATTGACATTTCATTTGCAATATAGAAATGTTTGTATGTCTATTACATTCCAACCAGTAGATGTCGCACTGTTAACATGAGGCCTGAAGAAACCATCTCTCAAACCACTTTGCTGGAATGGCTCAGAGCTTCATCTCACCATAACCAGTTGTATGGTGTCCTGTGTGGTACTACTGTGTTATATTTGCTAGGGTGTTTGGGTTGTGCTCCATGGATGCTCTGGGTGGTTGCTAGCATAGCTTAGGTGGTTGCTATGGCATTTATGGTCGGTTACTGCAGCAACTACTGCGAGGGTGTTATCATAGTGCTAGTACTAGCAGCAGCAGCGGTATTACTAGTAGGTATTAATAAACAGATACAACACACACATACATTTAATGTATGCTGCTCTACAATAATTTGAGGTGAGTGAGTATGTGAGATCATATCTAGAAAAACTACTGGGAGGCCAACTAATGGGAAGACAAGAAAATCATCAGTTTTCAATATGCATGATGCGCTAGAACCATGTCGGTCAACTCCAGGAAAACACACCTCCTTCAGGTGTCTCAAATGTCTTGCTGGGGCTCGCAGGCCCTTCTCCTTTGTAATTAATGACCCTGATGAAGAGGCTGTAGAGGCTGTAAGGCTTGAGGCCTGGCAGACGCCCCTCGGTACGGTTCCCACTGAACGTCAAAAGCTGCGTCTCCTCATCCATGTTCGCCTCCGTCTCCTGCAAGCCGCGCTCACGACGATAGTATACCTAGGAGATGCACCAAGAGTTAATGTGCAGTCTTCATGGGTTGCTGTTTTACTGTTTGTTTTCCTTATAGTTTGCCCTGCTAAGATTGTACCACACAGATTCAGGTGGCTGAGCAGAGGGGTTTTTTCATAAAGAAGCCCCAGAAACAGTGTTCATCATGAAAACCTGCCTTGAGTGAGCTTGATAATACCCTTCAAGCTAATATGACAAGACTAATTCAAGCCTGGCTTAAGAGCTGATTTGATGATTTCGAAATACAGACTGTGTGTTTAATTCTTTTAATGTTATTGCCATTTATATTGAAGGTAAATGGTGAAAATGCATCTTTCACAATGGGGCTACAGCTGGGGGTCAAACTTAGTTTATTTTTCCTCTTTCCAATTATTTTTCTGCTTTTTGCATTAACATCTGCCTACAGTGTGTCAAGTGATACCATTTGATACGTGCTGCCATTTAACTGACTTCAGAGTGCAGCACTTGAAACTTCAGTCGGACTTAGATGTATTTAAAAAGGTACAGAATTGCCTGAAAAGAAGAGAGCTGGTAAAGTACACCCAGCTTAACTTGTAGTCTTTTTCCAACATAATGTGGGCTTCACACAGCCTTGACCACCCATCTCTAAATAATGACATGAAAACTCTGCATCTCCCTCCCTCACACACACATCCCTCAGCAAACATTTTACAGAATGAGCGAAAACACTGCCCATATATACACACCTGAAAATGACTGCCTCTTTATCAATTATCCAATGAGGAGCAGACACATAGATGACCAGCCTCTAAGGAAGCTGAAGTTACAACAATGAAATGCCAAAATAAACCACTCCCCCACTCCCTGTTTCTAAGTATTCCCTTTTAATGGAATTCGCGTGTTCACTCATCTAAGCTGATAAATTTGTGTTTTTCTTTGGTTAGTTTGATTTGCTTGAACTGTTTGACTGTGTATAGTTGGTTGCATTTACAGTTTGTATTGTAGCCTCGTGCTTTGAGCTTTTATTTTGACATCCTGAGAGGCTGGCCTCTATGTGTCTACTCCTCATTGGATAATAGACGAGTCAGACATTTTGTGGGGTGTGTGATATATAGACTGTGCTTTCACGCAGTCTGTAAAAAAAAAAAAAACTGATGGGGGCCATGTGGGGTTGAAGAGAGGGGAGAGTCTTTAGTTTAAGTGTTGCTGGCTTGTTTAGCATGTAGGTGCGCATGCTACAAAATGCAAAGGCTTCCACGTGTGTTCAGCGCTCTTCAATTGAGTTTTGTCACTCACACAAAGCAACAACAACAAAGACCAATAACCCTTTATCAAACAATACCTTGTATCCCTGTAGTTTTCCCCTTACTGAAGGGGGAGGTACAGGCTCCCAGTGTACCTCTGCTAGCATACTGTTATGAACCATGATCTGCACACTGTCAGGAGCAGACGAAGGCACTGCGAAACATTAAGAAACAGAAGCAGTTAGTTAACATCGAGTTTCAAAACACCACTCATTAATAAAGTTAAGAAGACTAAAAAGATCAGATTCAAATGTTGGTTGAAGAAACAAAATGGCAACATATTGACTGAACCGACTATAATGTTTATGCAGAATTTAACCTTGTAGCATATTCCTATTTTGACTAAATTTGACCAATGATGTGTTATCATCAGTTCACTCACAGTCTTCTCCAGAGTACCCAGTCACTACTTCAGGGTCTGGTCCGCTGCCATAATTGTTCACAGCTTGAACTTTAATTTCGAATGGCACAAAGGTGGGGGTTCCAGTCACAACGAAGTGGGTGGCGTTGACCACGTTCTCTGATGACCAATCTTCGTCCGTGTCCTTCTGTCTCCACTGCACTTTGTACTCCAAACCAGGCCCGTTGGACTGGAATCCTGTCAGTGGCTGTACAGAGAGTAATTTCAATTAGTCTGTTGCTGAAAAATAATGAACAACAACGAAACAGTGGAAATTCAGACACAGTGAATGAAAATACTCCAAAACGGTGTCTTCTTAGGACTTATGTTCCCAGTCAACCCACAGCAACCAGAAATCAAGCCATTCAAAGAGAGCTTACTGTCCAGTAGATGACCAAGTTGTCAGGCTCAGTTCCTTCTCCATGAACATCTGATGGATTTTCATCAGGAGCTGGGGGGGGGAATGAAGGCTTAATCTCTGAATACCTTTTTCAACATAACTCTACATGATTATATTTTCTGGGAGATGACTGTGTTCACTACCTGCGGGGTTGGTCCTGTATTGGCGCGAGGGCTGGCTGGGCTGGCTGTAGCCCACGCGATTCTGAGCCAGCACTCGGAAAGAGTAGTAGACGTATGGGGAGAGGTTTAACTGTGCTGTGGTGCTGGTGCCGACAACTTCTGTCAGGTTGATCCAGATTCCTGGCATGTGGAGCAGATCCTCATATTGGATTAAAAAACCTGGGGAAGATAATTAAAAATTAAAAAAAAAAAACCCAGATAATTTCTGTGGGTTAAGTCAGTGTATTTAATTCTGTGTATATCTAGCCATGGTGGTTCATTGCGCCAGCTACCATGGAGATTCATTTATTTGTTCTTGTTGATACTGACTGTGCAGTGTCTCGTTTTGAGTTTGGCAGTGGACAAATGGAGTGTACTTTGAATTAACAACTAAGCAGCAAAGATGAACACGTCATACTCTGCGTGGGACTGTTGTGTTCATCTCCAGGGATCCAGGTGAGCTGAACGCTCCTGTCCGTCTGGTCAGTCAGCTCCAGGTCGGTCGGAGGGTCGGGTTGTTCTGCAAACACAACGAGGAGCTCAGGAACACCGAAAAAATTGAAACGCTCTCATTTAGAACCTGCTACTGACACTTTTTGCAGTAGTATTAAAAACACACCATTGTGCAGTAAATGAGGAGTAATTGACTTTGAAGCATACTGTAGCTTTTGAGCTTAAGATTGGCTTCTTGTTGTCAGGGATTTAACATTAGTTTTTTTCTTTTTTTCTTTTTTCATGAAAGTGCATCTAAAATTAGAATCAATGTAACAAACCAAAAGCAGACGGTATGCTGCCTTGAAAGCAGGGCTAGTTTATTTTTACAACTTTTTTAATATTTCATGACAGAAAAGTAAAACGTTGGAAGTGTTGTATGAACTCTGTGGGGAAAAAAAGATATTACTTTTATCTTCATTCAGTAATATACAGGAGGAAGTTTGTAAAAAAGAGTTTGATCAGGAAACTCAGGTGTTGTCACTTGTGGTTGATTAGACCTCTGCGCAGGTTGGGGCTGAGGCCAATCAGGCAGGTTAAGTGAAAACACCTGTGTGGGTGCGCCGTGATCATGCATGGTGAAACTAAACTTTTAAAACCGTCCTCTACATTAAACAAAGCTAAATAAATACAATGATGCAATATGTAACACAGAGAACAAGAGCAAACCACATAAAATAAATGTCGAGACAAAATGGAGGCTACAGGTTTTGCAGACGAAACTGATGACTGAAGACAATGAAAAGTCACAAGATGCTACACTGTTTGTTTACCGTAGGCAATAGCCGGAGTAGGAGTTGCCTCTGTGACGGCGAGAAGCAAAAGTAAAGTGCAGGAAGAAGGTTAGATGTTAGGGACAGACATTTTAGAAACGGCAGAAAAGCAGGAACATTTCTATAGTAATGTGATTCTTTGTTAGAATATAACGGAAGTTATAGTTCATGACCAACCAGAATAAAGTTTTTGATAGAAACGGGACACACGACACAAGGACTCATTTGTTTATTCTCTCTTGCGTTCATAAAACCACTGTCAATACAGTAATTTACCATGCTTCACTCAATTGTTTTGAAGAGGAGAAAAACATAAACTCGTGGTTGGATCCTGAAAGTCACTTCTGTGACTTCTAAATTCAAAATAACCTGTCAACATGCTGAGTGCATGAACCCCTTTTCATGCACATTAGGATGTGAACATACCGACGACAGTCAGCATAGCGCTGGCTGAGTCCTGGTCCAGGGTTGTGTTCATGATGCAGGTGTAGGTGCCCTCATCTTCATTTGTCACATCTTTAATGGTCAGACTGTCTGTGTCCACCTCAAACCTGAAAGCAGTGCAACATGTGAGATTTTTTGCCTAAATTATATCCTGTTCTTTCCACAGGCGGAGGAAGTGATTAAACAAATTAATCAGATTAAGTGAGTGCCAATCTCAAGGTGTCTTGTACCTCTCGTCATCTGGCAGTTCTCCACTGTCTTTGAGCCAGGTCATGGTGGGAATAAGGGAAGGGTCATGTTTGACTTTGCACTCGAACACAGCGCTCATTCCTTTCTGCACCATCTTGTACTCCGGCTGCCTCAGGATACGGGTGGGCTCTGGAGGACGGAGGAGAAAGGCAATACAGAGTACAGCTTGATGGCCACGTGACTTAATGGCTGTAGGGGCCTAAAATATCAATTCCATGAGGCTAAAAGTTTAACCATCAATCTCATTGTCTGAAATATGATTGGGCCATATCTGACCTTTAACCTCCAGGAAGACATGGTTCTCCTTGATCCCCAGGTTGTTGCTGGCAATGCAGGTGTACTTTCCGCTGTTTAGTGACTGGGCCACGTTGATCTCCAGTGTACCATTCTCATGGATCACGTATGGGTCACCATTCTTAATACTGGTCTGACTGTCTTTGAACCTGCACAGAAACAACAACGCATTTTTTTCATAATGACAACAAAATGGATTCAATGTCACAGACAACCTAATCTGTTATCTTACCATGTGATGGTCGGTATTGGAGAGCCAAAGGAGGAACAGTGAAGTAGTGCAGGGTTGTTGGTGATGACCTGGTACACTCGGTTGGGTGGAGTGAGCACCCTTGGTGGTTCAGCTGTGTGGAGAAGCCAAATGTGATCTAAAGCAGCACTCAATATGTCTCTCACAACAGCCTGCATATCCAAATCGTACCATAAACGTTTAATACATTTCCATCTACACATGTTTTAACTCACCAAGAACATTGACAAAAGCATTCGCCATCACGTAGCCAAACTCATTGGATGCATGGCACTGGTAGACAGCACTGGATCCTGACTGCACGTGGCTGAGAATCACAGTGTCGTCCTCCACCTTGCGGCTGTGGTCCTCAGGAGCATCTAACACAGGACCAGAGATGGAATATATTGATCAAATTACAGAAAGAACATCTCTAATCATCATGTTTCTGGTAAATTCAACTGCACTGTAAGAGTTCTGTCTATGTAGAAATCAGCAGGTATTTTATAGAATACCATGCAGAGGGAAAAAAACAACAAAAAGGAGGAAAAAACACGGTTGGGACTGAAAATTAAATTCCCAATGCCACTCCACATCTAATTTATACACTCCGTTGCTGCTGTGTGCTTTAGACAGAAGTGTGTGTGTATGTGTGTGTGTGTGTGTGTAATGTAGTACATTCTATTTTTGAAAGCATGGTCTCATTTTCACTCACTCTCTATGGGGACTCCATTCACAAACCAGCTAATCTTCGGTTTGGGTTCTCCATTGACTCGACAAGTCAGGATGCCAGTCTCATTCGGAGCGAGGATCAGGTTCCTGGGAGCACTGACCCAGAAAGGAGCCGCTGGGGATGAACAAGAATAAAGAAGATACAGAGCAAGATCCTTAAGAGAATATGACAAAATAAACTTTACGTGGCCTGCACGATATACTTGGTATGAATGGTTGCATCTATGTAATTGTAAGATTAAAACAAATAAAGGTGATTTACTTCACCTAATCACTCCCTGTAATCGTAAAGTGTTACTAGTACTACCGATCTCACTGTGAATCAACACTTGGGTCAACAGCTCTAGAAGCTTTTAGTGCATTACTTTGTTTTGCCAACAAACCAAGAATGAATATCTTTATATTCCCTGGTTTTCAACTAACCCTAACCCTAACCCTAACCCTAATCCTCACCCAAAAAAGACAAATATTCCTTAATTTCATTTTCTTGCTTGAGAATTCACAGCTTTTCTATGTGATGGTAGACTGAATATGTTTAGGTTTTGGGCTGTGTCAGACAAAATATGCAACTTGATGACATCACTTTGGACTTATCGTAATTTGAGACAAACTTTTTGACACTTTATTGACAAAATGATGAATCGAGACACAAATTGGAGAGTGGAGAATGAAAATAATACCTGAGTGCATCCCTACTTAAATTAATGCACTTTAAATAGGACAAAAAGAACAAAAAACGGTATTAAATAACATGTGATGCATAAAATTATGTACATTTAGAAGCATTGCAAAAAGAAAATACCTGAACTGATTTGCATACCTTTGACAGTGACCTTGATGACATGGTCTGCAGTGCCCAGGCTGTTTGTGGCCGTACAGCGGTAGTCTCCCGCATCGGCTTCATTCACATCCGAAATCTTCAACGTTTTCTTGAAGTTACGGAAGGACATCCTGCTGCTTGGCATTTCACTTCCATTCTTCTTCCAGGAGATCTCTGGCGTAGGCCTATCATAGAAGCCCTTACAAATCAGTTCTGTTTGTTTGATATTTCTGCATTTTGATTTTTAGTATTAAAGCACATTCATGTATAATACATTTTTTCCCGCAGGTTTTTTTCGTTGTTTATCACTAACATTTGATAAAGTAAACACAAACCCTAAAGATGAGAGAAACTGTGATGCAAAATCGCTCCAGATGCCAACTTACAAGCCCTCAGCAATGCATTCCAGCTCCAGAGTCTCCCCTCTCAGAACCATCTTGGTGCTGGTGGCGCCCTGAGGTGTCATGAAACCAGGGCGACGCTCCCCCTCTGGGCTGTCTGAACATACGAGAACACAAGACTAAATCAGAACCGGGTGACAACATTAGACTTGAAGGTTTGAGTTATCCAAGAGGAGTATAGGAAGTGAAACTATAAGCTCAGGGAGCCATTCACATTGTCGTGAAGGACAGAGGTAGAGTCAAATATACACTATGAAAAGTGATTTGCCAAAGTGGATAGAAGGGATAGAAAATGAGTGAATGATGACCCAACACAATGCAAGAAGAAGACATCTTTGTTTTGCCTCATTTCATACAGTACGAGCACTGACAGAATAAGCGAGCGAGAGGAATCTCCCTGAGAGGGGTAGCCATGGGTTTGTTGCTATGGCAACATGGGAGGATCTTGGCAGAAAGCAACCCTCCAGCCACACACATATATACAGTATGCACATTCCTCAGAAGGTCCTTGTTGAAGGATCTAGATTTCCTTCTAATTACTCTGCCAAAAAGGTCACTAATATGATAAATGAGCCTCTTCCACTTTAGAAGGTAGAAGAAGAGCAATGCCGTGTTCAAATGTGTTGTGTTTACATGTGGCCATCTTGGATAACCAGTGATGGAGCAGAAATCAGTCTGAATTTGTGTGTGTATTTGTGATTCCAGGGGAGATGCATTTAGCTGATATGTAATGTTTGCATGCTTTGAAGGTAGTAGGTAGTTCAGAGCTTGTTAGGATATAATGTTATCTACACACAGGCAATAAACAGATACTGTTGATTTTGTCTTATAATAAATATTGTATCATGCATCACAGTCAATTCAGTTTTATTTGTATTGATCAAAATCAATGGTTTGACTGACACTCTACCCTTAAACCTTTAATTTGCATTAGAATGAACTCCACATAAAACTAATCAGATAAAAATGGGAGACACCTAATGGAAGAGTACATGTTAATATAATCACAGAGGAGGGGATTGAGACCAAGTTAAAGGTGAGTGTGTATGTCGGGTACGGTTATGCGAGGGAGTAAAAATGGGGCTGGGTTCACACTGGGGGGGGGCTGAATGGGAATAAACCAGCAGCACTCACCACTAAAGAAATCAGTGACATTGTATAAAGCGGCCAGAGTCTCATTCATTGTTTCCACTGTAATATAACAGAAAATCATAAGCATGCAAAACTAGGAAATAAACAGGCAATGCTTTATTTTACAATGACTTTTCCCCCATGTGTTTAAACCAATGCACTTGACTGTGCAGTGTAAGTACAGAATAATTTTGCATTGCAGCAAAAGCGTTGTGTAGTGTAACATAATATAAAATACAGTTATGTCATTCTAACAGTTGACATACGGCCATTATAAAATCAAATATTGCTATATGTGCTTTTTAATGCACAGCAAATGTACAATAAAGGAAGACCAGCAACCAAAATTCATCTAAGACAGTTTTGCATGAGTAACATATCAAACTGTATCACAAGCAACACAGTAACGCAAGATCCTAATGTATCACAAACATGGGGAAAAAGTACATCTAGAAAATGCATGCAACCATAATCAAAAAGCAATGGTTTATTTCAACTGATATAGGCCTGTTCAGTGTCTTGACTTACTGTTGAGCACGGTGACTGAAATGGGCTGCTTCTGCTGGATGGTCTGTGTGTGGGGGAAGCGAGCATAGCAGATGTAGTCACTCCTGGTGTCTTCTATGAGAACGTTTGAAAAGTACAAGTCTCCGTTCAGGGCCTGGGACACTCGCTGATCCAGCGGAAGCCTCTGAAAGTCTGAAGGACACGGAGTGTTAAAACGCTAAAAAAAGAACAATTTATCAATGTAATGAGCTTGCTGGACTTAGTTTTACTAGAAAAGGACGTTTACATTTACTCATTTGGCAGACGCTTTTATCCAAAGTGACTTACAAGTGAGGGTCATCACTAAAGCTTCACTGCAGTGAGACCTTGGTGTAAGTACTACATCTTTACTTTTTCATTGGTAAATGAGTTGGTAAAAACACCTATTTTCCACACCTATTTATCACCTATTTATCACATCTATCCAAATACCTCATGATTTATATCATCATCCACTGTCATGTTCAAAAAGGCAGCAAAAAAGATAGAATAGATATAGAATGCTGGATACATATTTTAAATGTACAATCCTTTTGTTTGTGAATGTTAAATCCTTATGTCCTTGTATAATGAGCGCAGATATGCACACATGCAAACGACTCACTGTTATCCATCCAGAAGATGACAGGAGGGGGTAGCCCGGCAGGGGGTCGGCACTGCAGCACCAGGGAGACCCCCATCTGCACAGTGATGGCTTCATTTCTTTCCTTCGACCACAAGGGGGACCCTGCGAGTCACAAGCATCAAACAAAGGTTCTGAAGGCTTCCCAGAACTTAAGATCATATAAATTTTCATTAAATGTTTTGAACAAAGTGTAAAACATAACTTATCAAACTGTAGTTGGTGCCGAAGCCATTAGGATCAGTTTTAATTTACAAAAACGGGGAAAAAAATGGAATGGAGTATAAGGAGGCGTCTTACTGGACTGCCTGATGACAATGTTGTTGGAAACCGCGGTGCCGTGCTCATTGTGAGCTGTACACTGGTACGTTCCCTCGTAGGCCTCCGCCTTCTCCCCGCTGATGTCAATGACCAGAGTTCCTGAACCGGGTTTCATCAGGACTTTGGAGTCTTTCTCGACGTCAAAGTGGGTTCCATTTCTCGTCCATGAAAAGCTAGGATCAAGCAGAACAATAAATAACATTTTATTTTCCAGGCCAGCAGCAACAAGGAAACATACATCATACATGAGCGGAAATGACATGGCACAACCCATGTGTTCAAATCATCAACATGCATTCTGCTTCATTATGCAGATTGATTTGAATTACTGTTTTCATAGTGGGGAGTTTGGCTGATTGTAACTCATTTGATTCAGAGACTGCTGGCAAAATCTAAACTGTGGCTAATTCACTCTGCCAGGTGTCTCTCAAGCGATTTGCTCGCCATGACAACAGTTGCTATGGTGATCCATATTTCTGCACTGCTCCAGGTTAAGTTGCCCTCAGGAACAGGTCTATAATTTCACAGAGAGGAACCATAAAACTGAATGGAAATCAGTTTGCTCTTGATTTCTGAAACTCTCAGGTTGTATCTTTACAATAACATTTCAGGAGCATTTGTGCCTCATATATTATGTCAACCAGAGAGGAAACCAGTGAAATATGCTAACGCAGTGTTTAACTGGGATGGATACCTGCATACTTTTCTTGCCTGTTGCACATGTTCTGATAAACAAGCCCCAGTGGCAGTGGGAGGAGTGATTGTCTCACCTGGGATTTGGCTTCCCCTTGGCCTCACAGTGGATGACGATGTTCTCCCGCGGATCAAAGATGTAATCCTTTGGGGACTGTAGTGTTATAGTTGGGGGTTGAGGCACTGGAGATACATGAGTAGAAGCGCAGTTGAGACACACACACAAACAGCGCAATGTAAGCATTGCAGACTGGAACTTCAATATTCAAGCAGAGGAGGCGCAGGCAGCATGCAACAAGCATTCACATTCAGTCCGACCTGACAATCAAGTCTGGAGCGGAAACTCTCTCTGCAAACAATAAAGCCACAATAGCTATCTCACCCCAATCTGAAGACAGACAACTTACCATGGAGCACCACTCCAAGACAAGCAAGCCACTTTACATGGTAACAGTGCTAAAATAACTGCATGCACATCTAACATTGCTCAAACCCACACAAAGACAATTTAAGTTTAAGAGCAAAAACTCCACACTAGAAGTCACAGCAGTGTTTGAGCCAACTTACATCCTTCCAGTACTTTAGCTTTTTGTCCACCATGACACGCCGTACCACAGTAGTAGTAGAATAGTGAGGAAAGGTGTTAGTTTTTGCAAGGAGTAAACAGCAGGTTCAGGTGAAATAGTTGCGCTTTCAGGTACTTTTAAGCATTTGATTGAGCCTGCCTGAAGTTTGGTTAAGGACAAGCTTTCCTACTTGCTTCAGTTTTTGTGAGGCAGGTGCAATAAATGCAACAGAAGCAGCTGAAAATATTACAATTTCCACACAGGATATGTGATACGAAGGGAAAAAGAGTTCCTCCAAAATTTGAATTGCATTTCATAACTGAAAACCACAACTCCATGCTGAAACATGCAAATATGAATTACAAGAACTGCCGAGTGGAGCTCATCTAAAGCTCTTTTTGCGGCTCGTAGAAGCTATAATTCATTACGCTCTGCAGAATGTAATTTCCATTAGAGCATGAAAAGTTTCCTTAATTTATGGAAGTGGAATACTATTTTCCTGTATTGCAATATTACTATGTATAAACGTGATATCGGTAAGGAAGATACTTACGATCAAGAGGCACCTCTAGCGCTGATGTCATGCGACTCAAGAGTATGAACAGCACAGCTCCGAAGCCAGGCGTCCACTTCCTATTCCAGTCCATGGATGGGTGCGTCATGGTGAAAACCTTCTTATCCAGGTTCAACAGCAGTTCGGGTGGTCAACACGGTGAAGAAGTCTGGATCCACACAACAGAGTGGTAGAAAAGATGATTAAAAAACAAAAAAACATTTTACTATGTAGGTTATTTTTGGTAAAGTATACTCTTACACACATACATAGTTGCAAGGGTGTTAAAAGTGGTGTAAGTGCAATGTGTATACAATATTAGTCCATAAAAATGACAGACAAGGGTACAGAGATATAAATATTTAGTCTGAACTGCAATGGAAACTTCACTTTGTTGCCTTTTTCTGTGCAGTTTACTGACATTCACAGGGTCCAACATCCAAAGCAGGGTGTTTAAGTAGAGCATTGCAAGTGGCTTGTCAGTTAGATAGCCTGTCATTCTGCCAACGTATAGACTTTGGCAGGAGGAGAAGTCAAAACAAACTTGATTTCAGTCTTTATTTGAACAACCTATGCACTGTGCACTTATCTGTCCATCTCTCCCGTTATTTACCTTCGAGTGTTGGAGAACATATAAAGAGACACAGCAGCTTCACATAAGCATTAGTTTAGACTCAAGCACACTTCATTTTGTAATACTAGGCTTTTTATGTGTGGGAGCTGCCAACATCCATTGTACCTTAGATTGAGAGAAGACACACACTCGCGTGTTTAGAAAGTCTCTGTGGAGATATTTGGTGCTAGCTGTGTTCACATTCGCATTGTTATTGACAAAGATGGCCCACTGCTTACTGGAACATCCCGTGTGCACCGCTGAGGTGTCCCGCCTGACACCACGTGTCTGCCTGTAAACATATGGCATGTGAGTGCACTCGGCCGGAACAATTACAGCTCCGCCGCAGATATAGCCTGCGCACAGATTGGCACGTGCACGCACAAACGCACATCAGTGGGGGGGTGGGGTGGGGGACCAAAACATTCTTGCCGGTGCAGTGTGTTATATGGATCGAGTTACACATGAGTGCACACCCACAAGCGCTATAGCATAACATAACATAACATAACATAACATAACGAAGAGACGCAGATTGATACGTACAGCCGTCAAACGCACAAAATCATGTCGGCATTAACGGGCTCTTGTAAACTGCACCATGGGGAACTGGAAATTCTGACTGTCTTTGTTTTTCCCTTTTATGTCCTCTGTCTTTCAGTGTGTATAAGCCTCTGTCACATGTGCATTTGCAGGCTTTCATTTATTAGCAAATTGGTAATATATCACAGCACCTAATGGCATTCAGACCCTCCCTTGCATATGCTGGTTTTGATTAATGTCTGTCTGCTGCACAATATAATATACATGTTAGCCTGCCTAATTCAGGAAGATGGGCATAATATCTAATAATATACAGTCTTAAAATATTTGCAAGATTCAAGCACCGCTATTAATGTTTAATTTTATTCAAGAAAATAAATTTTTCCCCTGGTGTTATGTGAACGGTTCAAAGTCGCCAAAGGGTGATAGTAACTCCTGTCAGCAGCCTGAGATGGAATTCAAGGTGGAGCAGTGTGCTGCTGTCAGGTGAATGGCTCAGTCCATCCTGACATCTTCATTATTCATGACTCGCACATGCATCTTTGCACATACATTGTAGACACACACACACACATGTGCGCATACAGAGGTCTACATATACACGGGAGGTTGAAGTCTTCAGAGGCATTTCGAAGGTGAAATTATCAGGCTCACTGCTAAACACAGGCCAGTCTCTACTCTGCTGGAGAAGATCCATGTCTGATGACATAGGGAGAGTGTGGTAATGAACACACACTCAGAAAGTAGTGTGTCAGATTTTATCCAGCTGAGCTAGGCAGAGTGTGAGCTAATACAACCCCAGGACACAGCTAATTACGCCGACACGTCCTATTGGATATTACTCTCATTAGTTAATCGAGAAGGAAGACGACGGAGGGAGAGAGAGAGAAGAGAGCAACACAACTGAATGCATTAGATGAAGGCCATGCATGCTAAATCTTCTAATCGCATTGTGGAAAAGGCAATGTGATATCATGCAAATGTAATGGCCCATCTTCTGATTAATTACTATAATGCTCTGTGCTGCTGCAGCAAAAAAAAGAAAGCCTCCCCCATGGCGACAGTGGCCATATTAAGCCTTGCTGGACCTCAGGCCATTTTCTCGCAGACAGTGAAGCCCATTCACCTGGTTGGGAATAAGTGCGACTTTTGTCTAGAACATAATGAGTGACTAAAAGAGAACGGGAGATGAATGATGGAAGTTGAAGAGAATGTGCAAATGGTTAAAAATGAAGACATCCAAAGAAAGTACAGAGGATGGGGGAGGAAAGGAAAAAAGAATTCTACAGCCGGAGGGAAGATGATGATAGGGGACGTGTGAAAATTCAAATGCAGCATCAATTACTTTACTGGTCTTCTGATTTAAAAACAGAACCTGACTGACAGAATTTTTTAGGCCTATATAATTATTGAAAATAATAAAAATCTGATGAAAAATATGCAGTCAAACTTTTTAACAAGTATTTTGTCACAGACATGTCTGAGAAATGCCATTTTACAGTTGAACAATAAATATTTATCAAATGTAAGTATAATAGTATGTAAAAACACCGGAAAAGACAACCATATTGAACATTAAGACTAACCTATAAAAATGCTGCCAATAAAACACTTAAGTTCACTCACTTTTCATTACATATCTGCCAACATACACACTACTTGATTTGTAATGTTCTGTACAAATTGAAAAATTTCCACATGGAACAGTGTGTTGACCACCAGTGCATTGGCCTGTCGCCCTGTCAGTAACAGAGGATACTGCTCTCCTTGTACTGTCAAATACAGAACACTAGTGAGCCTTGAAAAGATAATCATGACACCAAACGAAATGAAGTATTTTGGAATCAACACCACAAATCTTTCATAAATGTAAGGTTGTTTGATGAGTTTGTAAAATGTAACCACATTAACATTATTGTCATTAAGAGTATAAAGAGTAAGAAAAGCAGCAGAGGCACCAGAATCAATAGAACTTTAATCCTACAATGAAGTTTGAACGCAGCCCATGTTATTTTCCCATTTACCGATGTGCTCACTATATAGTCCTCTGCATAGAATTAGCTTTTGGATTATTGCAGAAAAGAAGCTCTTTGATGAACAGATTTTGTTCAGCAAGATAATCCTTAGAAATGAACACCACATATTTGATTTTTTGAAGCCTAAAGACAGTTACCAGAAGTAAAAAGCTAATGTTAGGCTATAAACGAACTACACCGCGGTCACACTGCTTAGTCACCACCACTAAGCTTCCACCTTGTCATTCGGTTTTCAGTCTTCTACAAAAACCTTTCCTAGAAATTTAGCAAGAGCGTGAGTATGAACACAACACGGTTATGAAGGTGCACTGTTGAGTTGATCTGTTTTCATGTTTGGTATGATGACATTTAATGTCCCAAACAACCTCTGTCTCATTTATACACTTATTAGCAACCATCTTTTTTAAGACTCGTAAGAGCTTAAAAAAAAAAAATCACAGCTGGGGTATTTACTGGCTGATTTTATGTTGTAGAATAAAACCTGAAAATGTCACCACAGGCCTTATTTCAGGCATCTCACCAAAAAAAAAGCCACTGAATTCAGGACGAGGTGCAAAGATGCTGACTTATTTCAAGGTTTTCGGAAATATGGAAATATTAGCGCATGACGTCATCTAGCGACAAATATATGATAGCCTAAATGTGGTCAGGCGCTACTTTAAAGGAGACATCGCCTCAAATGGTTCCTATTAAAGGAAACATTGTGATTTAAATCACTGATTTGTAAAATTACCCTAAAAGCAAAAGTTCAAAGTTTTGGGGAATGTGTCTGTTCGTTTTCTGGTGGAGAATTGAGACTGTTACACTCTGGGCTTTGTATGGATTAAACAAACAAGATAAAACATGTTTATTGGTGAGATTTTCATGGGCTGGTCAGCTGATTTTGTTACTTTTGGACTGGCCAGCCATTTTTAATTAGCCAGGCTACTATAGCGCTCTTTCCCTGTTTACAATTTTTGTGATAAGTTTCAGCCATCTAATCTAACTCTTCACCAAAAAAGAAAATAAGGGAATTTAACAAACTATTTAACACCATATTTGATATATTAACGTAAAAAAAAAAAAAAAATCCCCCAGCATGCAACTCTGTCATCTGTTCTTATCCTGTGTCTCGGTTTTAATGTCTGACCTGGGTCACATCTCCAGAGAGGCAGGGGGGGATTAAGGGGTTAAAAACACAGCACGAAACACACAGACACAAACAGAAAACAGACACACGGACATAAAATTAGCTGCCATGTGCAAATGTCAACATCTCCATATTTCAACAGCGAGAATGTCAGTGTGTTAAGAGGCATAAATTGTTCAGACATTGGCGTTGGAAATACATCAGCACCTTTTTAAATTTGCATGATCATACACCATAACACTGAACCTTTAACCTTTAAGTGAGGACAAACACTCTTTCGTACCTGTTGTAGCACGGTCAAAAAAAAAATAAAAAAAAATAAAAAAGTGTTAATGTGTTTTTGAAGCCTGTTGAGTGAATTTACCGTAGCTCAAAGCGATGCTACGAGCCTGTACTGTGCAGTGGGCAGGAAGACATTTCTCTGGCAGCAATAAGGGTGTCACAGAAGCACAAATTACACACACACACACACAGCCCGACATTCATCCTAAAGCGCAATGTGAACGAAATAATTTCCCATTGCTCATTTTCTCGCAGGGCACAGACGAGAACCGAAAGATGATGATGACAAAGAGAACTCAAAGGAAGACGAGTGGGATGACTTTTGCTAGTGGGCAGGACATCTCTCATCCTCCTCTGCCTTCTTCTCACTGACTCAGGGGTCAAAGCCCAGAGGTCAACGCGTCGCCCTGCAGCCCTGCCTTTCCGTCTCGACAACTATATCCCTGTATTTCTCCTTCTTTCACTTCCTGCCTCCCTTCTTCTATTTCACTTAGTCATTTTGTGTTTTGCAAATCATCCTTAAACCGAGCCCATGAGGTCTTCAAGGTTACGGTACATTTTGAGCA